ACCGCGTCGCCCTCCACGACCAAAGTGTCCATCACTAACACGTCGGCAAACTTTCTTATCACGGCGTTGCTGGGTATGGTTGTCTTTCGGGAGAAGGTGAGTGGGCTGTGGTGGTTGGGGGCTGGGATGATGGGTGGTGGGTGTATTTTGGTCGGGATGAGGGATTCTTGAGCCTTGTGCGTCTAAGCAAACAGGTCTGCATGTAGGATAGACCTTGAGTGCCAAGTACAAGGAAGCTATTCCTTAGGATGCCTGATCCTGTAGTCTATTTGAGGTGATATATTACATCGAAAGGTATCATATATGTCAATGTCTCTCCGTCAATTCCACAAAGGCATCGTCCTCCTCGGTTCCCCTCAGGACCCTGCTTGGCCCCCGGCTGTCTAAAGCCACTGGCCCGTGGTCGCGGTTAAGGCGTGGCCACCGTGGCAACATCGAGCCCACACGTTGCAGGAAGCGCCATACATTTTCTTCTAGTCTATCGCTCGGGCGCCCGTTAAGATGGGCTCCAAGTGGAAGGTCCACCGCAGTATGGGTTGATGCGAGAGCTTGTTCCTCGGCCTCCACCTTGAACTGATATTTCAGGCAATCCTTGACAGTGACAAGTCCCGTGACCCGACCACGATGCTCAACCAGGATCACCCGCGGTCCCATCTTCTTGAAGATCTCCATGACAGTCTCGAGTGCCAGGCGGGGATGCACTGTTAGCGGTGTGTGGTCAACGTATCGGCTGAAATCCACGAAAGGCGCCCCTAAACTAGTTTGAATTGCATCAAAGGTATTAGGCACCAACTGATTTCTCGAGACAGATGCCCTGCGCGCCACTGCGGCTTCGGCCGCTTCTTTCGTGAATACACAGCGAGCATTAGGAGCCAATATACCCTCCGACTTTGCCCGGTCAATCGCGTATCGGAGTTCAGTGCGGCCGATGTACCCGACCAGGACCTTACTTGAACGATCCTCAACGATGGGGAACCCTTGAAATTTGTTGTCATTCAGAAGATGCTCGGCTTCACGCACAGGGAAGTCTGCTGCAGGAAGCGAGACAGGATCAGGCGTCATGGCCTGGGAGACAGGCACATTGAAGACATGCTCTTCTTTATTGTCTAGGAATGGGAAGCCGTTGGACCAGATCATTCGGTCAGCAATTCCTCCACTGCCAAAGCGATCACTAACAGCTTTGGTGACACCCACCACGATCTACCAATGTTAGTCTCTTTGATAAATGCACCCAGAGGTGATTTGACTCACCATGGTGGGTAGAATGTAAGTAAGGGCCCCGGTAAGTTCAAACATGATAACAACCACAGATATTGTGAGGTGCATAATCCCACTCAGAGCGGCCCCAGCGCCCAGGAACGCATATGTCCCGGGAGTGATACATGGAACATCTGGTTTACAAGAGGCAAAGAAGGAGGAATTCGGGAAAGCCTCGTGCAAGGCCTGGACAAGAATCCCTACCAAGCGACCAAAGGACGCTCCAATGGCCATTGACGGGACGAAAATGCCGGCCGGGACTTTACAACCGTAAGATATGATGACCAAAAGAACTCGTAAAATGGTAGCAATCACTAGGGATGCGACCATAGTCCATCGATTCTTGGACCTAGAATCATTAGCAGTTGTCTTCCCTAGTTGTCAGCTAAACGGCTTACTCGCAAAGTCCGTGGTAATCGTGCCCTCCTTCGCATTCACGGAACAAAATCTCCATCATCTCGGTCATGTTGATCTTCAAGAACATGTTCGGATAGCAAATGAATGCGGTCAAGCCCGCTAAGACGACAGATTCGACGATGGGGTATTGCGAAAGATATTTCTTCCTGAACGCCTGGACTCGCAGATTCCACTTGATCACAAAGGCGCCGTACAGGCCACCGAATATCCCGAGAAGTACGAAAAATATTAGTTCGAAAAAATGCCACGTGCGATCATACTGCACCTGAAACATGACGAGTTGTCCGGTCCTGAAGGGATTCATCATCTGTGGCCTGGATCAGCGGTTGACGAACAGACAGAAACAGAACCTGGCGTCCCTACCGCCAACACACCAGTTGCGACCAAAGCGCAGAAATAACTTCGCCAAAGAGTCTTGAGTGGAAAGTAAGATGCCATTTCCTGCAGCCAGCTTATCAGCATAACTCTCCGACACATGGGCTTCAAAATCACCAACCTCTAGAGAGAATAGCACCCCACCAATTGGACTGCCAAATGCCACTGCCACACCAGCAGCAGCCGTTGCCGTCAGGACTTCTCTCGTTTTCGACGCGTTCAGCTTATACTTGCTAAAAAGGCGCGAGATGACATTCCCTGTACAGACGGCAAAGTGTACGCTGGGACCTTCTTTTCCCACTGAAAGACCAGACGCAATGGCCAATGGAAGCGCGATGGACTTGATCAATAGTGTCCAGCCACCTAAGAAGCCTTTCATCACGAACCCGGCAATAATGCATTTAATTTCTGATATACCGGACCCTGCGGCGTAAGGAGCGAATACTTTAACCAAAGTGGCGGCGATAAATGCGAACAAAGTCTATACTTTCTCAGCCATTGATCCGGAAGGACAGGTAAGGTTCAACATACTGCGAAGAAGAAGTATACAAAGTAGTTGATAAGCCAGAAGGAAGTCCATGGCTTCCATTCGGGACAGCCTGGTAAAGAGATACGTTAGCTCCACCATGATTAGAACATAAGCGATATGCATACCTCCTTCAGCACCCCAGCAGCAGAACTGCTCATTGAGGTAGAACGCAGTCGTACAATGACCCAACTTGATATCCGACAGCCACTCAGTGATGATGTTCAATACAGCCGAGATCAGTCCGATAGCGGCGCCGACAATTGTGATGACGAGCCAAGCTTGCCCAGCGTGATACGACTCGCTCACTTTGCGCCTCCAACCAAATGTGCCTTCCTGATCCCAGAACCCAGACCCATCTCGTCGCTTCGCCCTCCGTCGCGCTTGTTCCTGAATAGCATCTTGGACCCAATCAATCGTTGTAAAATCCTCATATCGCTTTATTTCCCTGATCTCATCGGTAATCGCGTTCGGATGGCCATTGTCGTCGGGTGGGCTAGGATCGACAGGCGAGGTGACAGATAAGCCTGAGAATCTCCAACTCCGACGCTCAGACAGGACTGAGGGTGAGCGCGGAGCGGTCGACGAGGCAGGCATCGAGCTCATACCACGGTTCTCTTTTGTGGTAAGAGCATAGTCGGCATGGACGTGATGCTGGCGAGCTGTTTATATTGCAGTGACAATGTTCCATGGCAGATATGCCGCCCGCCCACGTGAGGGAACTTCCCGCTTTCAGATTGGAGATAAGGATTAGATGACGATGGGTTTCCTTTGTCGATCGAGGTGTAGCACAAAGTCTTGTAAGATAATGAATTTTCTTTCCTTTTCCGCGAGTCGGCTGGTCAGCAGTAATATATAGGGGTCGCCGTGCTTGATTCGACCCTGTTCTTGTAGTCAAGCACATGCAAGCATATCCTACACCACTTGCGGAGAACATCTACACGCTGCGCGCTCTTGATTTCTACCCGCACGCGGTGTAGCAGTAATTTCTCGACCTTCTAAACCGCACCATATTCCTCTCCGATCCGGACAATAGTGCTTAACGAGACTTTTCAACACGTACAATTATCCTTGACCTGAGACCAGCTTTGAAACATCCGAAATATACGACCGAACCCCGAGTCGAGTCCGCTATGTCTCCGAAAGACAAGCCCGCACCAGCACCAGCAACAGCACAAACATCCAGAGATGAGATAACCGGCCAGAGCGCTCTACCTAGTGCGTGTGAAACCAGAGCTTTGTCGAATTCACCCAGTGGGCTTACATATCACAGTCACACGAATAAAGAAAATAATTCATCTCGATGAGGATATCGTACAATGCTCCGGCAATGCTACGTTCGTAGTCGCAAAAGCTACAGTTTGTCTCCCCTTTTGGCTTTCTGGATTCTAAGCTTCGTGTCGAGCAAGATTCGCTAATTCTGTCCTACAATCTATTTAGGAAATGTTCATCCAATACCTCGCGCAACAAGGGCATAACGTCGTTAAATCTGAACGAAAACCGCGTAAGGTTATTCAATACAAGGATCTAGGTCCGTCGCGAATCATAGCATTGGAGAAGCGAGCAGATCGCTGATGAATATGACACAGCTACCGCCGTTTCACGAATCGATAATCTGGAGTTTCTTGCCGACGTGATACCCAAAACAACTACCTATAAACAATTCAAAGAGAAGAAAGCAAAAGAAGCCAGCAAAGACGCCGCGTTCGAGAAGGGACAGCGCACATTGAACGGCACAATACCGTCGATGATCAAAGAAAACGGCGAGGGTGGTCACCAGAAAGCTGATAAGCCTTCTATAAGCCCTCGAGCTCCGTCTCTCAGTACGTTGATGGTTGACCGCACCGTCGAGGCGCAAACAGGAGAAAACGACCGTGACGTCGAAATGGTAGACCAGTGACCGAACCAGGCGCAAGTCCTTGTATAATCTGAGCTACTCGGTAGACGTGTTTGTTTCTTTGGGTTTGGGTATTATTATCGAGGATCGCATGTTTGGGTTTGGTTATGCACGGAACGGATACGGATCGAGGGCAAAATCCTGTTGGTCAGTTGCTTTTTGACGCGTGAATCATTTATACCTCAGGTTAGCATAGCGAGAACATATGAGCATTATGATAAAATCATCTTGAAAAGACCAATTTTATTATAGAATAGATAAGAGTCTGGAAGAATAGCATTCTAAGTAGACCTAAAGATGGCAACTGCAAGAAGAACGTTTGGCGGCCGGAATTGTCGTGGGCCCCAGCCAATGAGGCGCCCCGTGATTCCGATCGCTTGTCGTAGAAAGCTCTTTCGACCCGTATGCCGGGCCTCCGTTCAACCTCATCGAATTCCTCCCGTCCTATTATTCAATTGCTCTCTTCCCCCTCAACTCTCCTCCCCTCCACCCACCTCCCCGCAATTCATTGCGATTGCTAGTCTCATCATGTCGCTTTCCTCCGCCTCGAGTACTCTGCTGCGCGCTTGCGCCCGCCAGCAGCTGCCCACCACCCGCGCTGCTGTCGCCTCCTGCCAACAACGGAGAGGACTGTCCGAGGCCTCCAAGTCCTCCTCCTTCGATAGCCCTTTCGGCAGCTCCCACGAGTACCAGTCGACCCTGAAGATCCCCAGTTTCAGCAAATACGCTTCCAACAAGCCTCCCCGCTCGAACCAGGTTTTCTCCTACTTCATGGCCGGAGCCCTCGGTCTCGGATCTGCTGTTGGTGCCAAGGCTACTGTTCAGGGTAGGTGATATCAGGCAATTTACCACAAGAGATGGAATTGAACGAAAGGATTGAATATCGCTTTGGAATACAATTGCGGGAGATTCGGCGGTTGGGGTCGTTTGGTATCACATGGAGCAGGTTGCTGATATGCAATTTTTCCCATCAGACTTCCTCGTGAACATGTCCGCCTCTGCCGACGTCCTGGCTCAGGCCAAGGTTGAGATCGGTCTCGCTTCGATCCCCGAGGGCAAGAACGTACGTGTCTCGTTTATCCGCGAAGCATCACGCACACTTCGCTACTCCGCCTATACTGACCTACCAATCCACAGGTCATCATCAAGTGGCGTGGAAAGCCCGTTTTCATCCGTCACCGTACCCAGGACGAAATTCAGGAGGCTCAGCAGTATGACTGGAAGACTCTCCGTGATCCTCAGCCCGATGAGGACCGTGTCCAGAAGCCCGAGTGGCTGGTCATGCTTGGTATGTCGTCATGCCATCTGTTTCTGCTATATTCTTTTGGATGGTTACTGATAGCGAATTTTTCTATCGTGAAGGTGTCTGCACTCACCTTGGTTGTGTCCCCATTGGTGAATCCGGTGACTACGGCGGCTGGTTCTGCCCCTGCCACGGTTCCCACTATGATATCTCCGGCCGTGTCCGGAAGGGTCCTGCCCCTTTGAACCTCGAGGTTCCCCAGTACAGCTTCCCCGACGAGGGCACCCTTGTCATTGGTTAAATATCTCTTCTTTGTGAGTCGCCAAATGTTCTAGATCAAAGAGAGGCGAAGAGGGGAGTGTTTGTGCTTTAGACGGCTAGCTTTGTTGCGTTTGTCAAGATTGAAGAGACCGTGTTTTAATATGGACCCAAAAATGAGCTCTTGTACCATCTTTCAACATGCGCTGCTCAGGCCCCTGTATCACTCACTTGTCTGTGGAATTCTTGTGTTTCAGTATAGACTTTCCTCGTTCCGAGACCTTGCCTCACGCGCGTGCGGGTCAAAAGCGAGTTGTCCGTTCCTCTTACTCGTGGCAGCTGATGAAGCAGTTGGAAGTTGAGGTTGATCTGCAGTGAGAGGTGGTGGAGTTCAGATGTAGATCTGTTGAGCGTTGGTTCGAGTACATGTATGTCATAGTTCAGTTTACGTATATTCATCGTTCAATCTCCTTTGTCTTTTTTGTTCATTGGATCTGGTAATCTCTACTGCTAAGGTATCCTCGAAGTACTTCGCCGAGCTGACTCGGCAACTCAACCTGACTGCGCCGGCTGTACAATAATATACAAGTTGAATTCCACTACTTGGTCCATCTATCATCTATTCCATTTCTGTACAATGCTCAAGATACGAGTCGATGTCCCAAGGTAAACTAGTTACGAGGGATTCGACGTATATGTAATAGGCCTATCACCGGGGCCGAATCAAAGCAATCACTAGACCCATTATCGCTGCACCTGCAGCAGCGCTCTGAAGAGTGACAGTGGTCAGATCCCGCTGTGTAATGACCATACTGCGATCACTGAATAGTTCATTGAGAGTCTGTCGCCATGAGTCGAGGGAGGTGGAAGGAGGAAGTGGAGGAAGAATGCGGGAGAGGTGAGGTTTGCGGGGCTCAACGAGATTGATCGTTGCGCTCTTGGGAGCGCTGTCCTCTGTCGTTTCTGTTGCGGTTTCAGGGGTTATGTTTGTGACGATGGTGGGTGTAGGATCGGAGTCCCAGACAACAGGTTCGGATGTGATGGCTTCATCCGTGGCGGCTGGGGTGTTTTCATCGGTGGTTGGAGTGTCTTTAGTAGCGGTTGAAGTAGGTGTTGGCTCCGCTGCTTCCTCCTTGGACGAGGGCGATGTCGATGTAAGAGCAGGCTGAGGTTTCAATATCTCGATGTGATTGATGGCTTTCTCCTTCTCGATAGCCTCGATGACCTTCTCTTCGAAGCCCTTCACGAGTCGTTTGCGACGCCATGGCTCGACGGCAATTTGGAAGACAAGAAAGAGGAGAACGTTAACACCCATCAGGCCCCAAGTACCCCACGTACTCATTCGGCGAATCTTATCCGACCAGACTTGTTCCTCGTGATAGCGGGAGAGGATGCTCTTGCTCAACTGCGCCGCCGCCTCTTCGGACTCTCGTTCTGCGGCCGACAGGGCATCCTGTGTCTCCATCTCAGCCACCTCGTTGGTGTGATCGTTGCGGTAAAGGTGGGTGAATCTCTCGAGGTCTGCGGCAGACCAGGCGTGTTTCCGCTGGAGGAGCTCGTTGACTTCGCGCTGCGAGGCAGAGCGTCGGTTTATCGCTGCTGCGTAGGCATCTTTCGCTTCTCGGACCCGTTGACGGGCTTCTCGGAGTCGTTCCTCTGTTCGTCCGAAGAATTAATGGTCAGGGAGGAAGAATCCGAAGTTCCAATCATTTTCAAAACACACCTTGCAATTGTATATCTTTCTTGAGTGCCTCAATGGCAGAGTAGCCTGTCAAATCGTTCAATCGCTGGCCAGCCACGAAAATGTTGGATTGGAGGTTGTCCATCATCTCGGTAAATTGTTTGGACAATTGTGACCGGCGTTCTTCCAGGTACGAAGGTAGTCCCTTCTTCTCTGCTGGTTCACGTTTCGGTTCGTTCTTTGCATCTTGGTCGAACCCTTGTAGAGTGTCCTGCTCTCCCGCGGCCGGAGAAGGCCGTTGGGTTTCTGCATCCGGCTCTACCTTTGGCGATTCATCGCGGGGCGTCAGCGTTGAACTTGCATCCTTTGATTGCCGAGTAGCTGCGTCGTCTTTTAATGTGTCTTTCTCAGGAGATGAATATGATGGTGATTGCGACCTGAATTGGCATCGTACACAAACCGAGAAGCTCCGCTGTATATCTCTCGCAGGTCGAATGTTCGGCCCAGCGGCAGGTAAAAATTGTGGCCGTATCGGGAGCGAAGTCCTCGCAAAATTGGCAGATGACCTAAGCGACTGCCTCAGAAGCAGTGGCATGGGCTGCATGGCCAATTAATGGTAACCTTGAATCCAAGCAAGTTCTTGTTGGATTGTTGTGGTGGAAACTCAATGTCTTTGAGCTGACCCTTGGATCGGAACAAAAGGCGGAACGGAGAACATGCGGGAAAGGCAGCCCTCTCCTCTCCGATCTGTCGCTACTAACTTGCACCACAAACGATATCGCAGTTGATATACCTCTGGGGACGTTATAATATTATGATGAATGGTACAATTCTTTAAGAAATGCATGTACTTGAGTGCAGCGACCCTCGTCCTCTCCAGAATAAACTGTGCAAGCTAAGTACGGAGTAGACTGTGTAAAATAGACGACGATGTGATATATTGTTTTCCTTCCTGTTCTCTCGTTTCAACGTGGTGGTATCAATTCATAACATAACAACCCTTATTCGTTAAGTCCTCATGAAGCATGACATTAAAGCATATCCATCTTACTCAGACGCAGTAGATGCCTTGCAAGTTAGATGAAACAGAGCCCTCGACGAAAACGGTCCACCGTTCGGCAATAAGCTGCTGCCGTAAATATTCACAAGCATTCAATCGTGCGTCTGCACCTTGTGGTCTCCCTTGACAGCTTCGGCATAGGTTGGTGGTGGCCGGGAGTCACCCTGAGCATGGCCACTGCTTCCTCCCTGTCCTTCCTCATGTTGCGGCTTGGGAGCTTGCTGCTGAGGGTGAGGAGCAGGACTCGGCGCTGGTTGGTTTTGCGGTGCTACAGTGCCATAACCTCTCTGGGATGGATGCTGGATGGGCTGATGAGAGACGTAGTAGTATGTCACACGACCACTTTCAGTGTCCCGTCTCCGGTCGACATGGCCAGGAATGGGCTCGTAGTTCGGATCATCATAGTCTGGTTCGGGGTACTTGAGTATGATGTACCATGCGTGTAGAAGACCTGGGACGTAGCCTAGGCAGCAAAGTGCAAGGTTGATGATCGAGTCGGCTGTGCAGATGCCTACTTTAATCCACACTGAGAGGATATGTTAGCTGGTGCCAGATAAACATGAAGAAAATCACGTCAAAATGAACTTCTCACCTGCAACTGGTGGAAAGAAAATTGCGAGAATCCCAAGAAAGATGTCTGAACCGCACATGGTTGCGTTCGAAGAGGGAATGGGATATTTAACTAAACGAAGTGTCTGACTGTACAACAGCCTCGGGTGAATGAAGGATTTGCCAACGTTCTACACTGAGCAGCAAAATGCCACAAAGAATGAGTAGTTTTACAGATATGAGGCTCAGATAAATGTGACGACAACTGATGGTTCTCTCAATGATAAGTAGGATGGAAGCCTGCCTCAGCCTGTGCGTCCGTCATATGACGTCGGTACATGTCACCTGATTTTGAGGGACGTTGATGCCATAATATTCAGGCTTCATATCTCTGATGGGACATGAACCTGGTTGTCAGATTCAGCCAACGGAATACCTAAGGTGACTTTACCAATCGAGTCATTCTAGGCACTTCTGACATCGCATGGAGGTCATATCACCTTGACCATCTTCTAGGGGCTTCGAAAAGCCAGTTTGAAGAGCCCGACCCATCCGAATTCATGCAGTCTTTGCATGTTGCGATGTATATAAACTCAAATGACTTGTTACGGACAAGAAATGCGACAAAGCGCGAAGAGCATATGGACAGTCAAGTAGAGGGGAGTTCTATTGGTCTTCAAGACAAATTTAATCGTTCTGTGTCTGATCTGGATCTGCTCTATCGCACCAAGAGACCTCATGATCCACATCATGAATGATTCGCATGGCCGACATTGTGATGTTGCTTTACAGCCGAGCCCTAGATGAATACCCGAGCGACATGAGATAGGGATCAGCCAAGCACTGACAACTCAATATACATTGTACATGAGGAGGACTCGCTGGCAAATCTGAAACGACAGGTTAAATTGAAAAACATGGAGATATGACTCCAATTGTCAAGAGATCTCTGTCTCACGCTCATACTCGTAGTGCTCCCTACTTCACTCTCTTCATACCGACACCCCGGTAAGAAAAGAAGAATCTTATTAGTTCGACCTTGATCAGTAAGGGACCAAGGAACACTGGGGGCGGTGGATTCTCCCGTGTTCCACAACGAATCCAAGTCGAACAACCAAACAGGAAACATCAAAATATCACCTATATCAAAATTGAGATAACGTAAGGGTTGACGACCTTAAAACACCACATGACAATGACAGTAATAGATGATGTGAGTTGGCTTGATAGCAGATGGTCTCCCAAGCCCCAAGTGTACACTGAGAAGGGCTGCCACGTCAATTGACAACATCGAAGCTTCATTGTACCTGCCTTTGTTCGAGTACGGAGTATTTATGTAGCACTGTCGCACTGTCGCACTCGAGCAGTCCACCTGTTGCGCTCGCTCCCTAAGGTAAGGTAGCCGCCTTAAGGTACTTTTCTTTTGCATCGAATATTTACCCACTACTTCCGTATAAGATTAGCACCAGTGGATCTCGACCCTTATTATCAGTTATCATTTCTCACATCCGGATGCTAACAGCTTCCGGCACCGCAAACCGCAAATCGCCAAGGTTAGGTTAGTTCTAGCCTCGTTTTAGTGGAGTCTGTTTAATTACCTATCACAAACTTTCGAGGCTAAAGTGACCGGCAATGTGCAGCAGAACTACCTAAGTTATTGTGCCGTACCTGACTATCTGTCTATCTACAGGCTAAGCGGCCGTTGCCCCCTTTTATTATTATTCTTCTGCACCGCGCCTCGGATGCAGACTGCCTGCCCTCTGCAGACTGCGAATCTGCGATAATCGAGTTCGACTCGGGGTTCGAGACCTTACTTTGACCCTTGAAACTTTGAAAAGCTTTTCTGTGATCTGTGCTACGAAGTCCTGTCTTCCAGATATTAATGTTATATTATAATTGAAATAAGCCCATCCTCTCTTTCTCCACGTCCGTTTCGGAGCGGCCAAACCGTTTGTTACTTTCTCTTTCTGACGCTACTCATCCTTAGGGCCAATACTCTCCCAGTTGTTTTCTTTCCGGCCCCATTGTCTCTGTCTCTCTGACTCTTTTTATCCCATCTTTGGTACGCCGTTTTTCGCGGACGTCTTAGTCCTAATTTTCCTCGGAACCCAAGTCACTCGTTCGCCTTCACTTTTGCACCACTGTTCGTCGCCATTCATCATTTGCGATACTCTTTTCCGTCCATTCCTCCAGGTTGACGCGTTGTGCTCCCGTCTCTGTTGCCTTTCGCAAATTCCCGCCAATTGAGTTGCGATAATCATTTCGGGGGAGAGACAACACCATGAGAACCGAGTTCGGTTACTTCGCTTGATAACGCATCTGAAATTCGCCATTGTCTACATCCGCGCTCCTCAACTTTCATTTTCATTCTTTCGAGGTTATCCTGTGGGGTCAGGAGCGAGATGGCAGGCACCTGCATCTCTCTATCGGGGTCCACGCAGTGCCCTGCTTTCAATGGCTCATCCATATCAACCAGCTCGAGTCTCTACACAGATTTGTAGGCCATATCCAATGTATCCACCTGCTCGCTGCGTGCTGACCTTCTGGTAGTCCGTTCATGCAATATGTTTCGAATCTGGACGATTTTGATCGAGAATTGAGCAACTACGTGAACGGCTCGTATGTCAAGCAAAAGTAAGTGCTTAACTCCGACCCGGGTCACTCATAGCTTCGACTAAAGCGTCATGATCGTATTTAGGTATATCGACTATCTGGGATGCCAGGGAGTCAATCTCACCCACGCGAATAACTACTATGCCCGCTATACCACCAGTACAATATGCAGCGGACTCGTTCAAAGCTCAAAGACCTACTGCAATCTTTCTGACCAGCAGTCAAGGCCGCTTTGTGCCGACACTTGCGCCTTGATGGCCACGAGCGAGGAGGAAATCGTCGTCAATGCTGACCTTTGCCGGACAACAGGCAGTAATTATATGAGTCAAATCCGGTCAGACTTTACCATATGCTCCTTGCCTGCCGACTCACTCACTGGTACTTGCATTTCCGGCGCGGATAACGAACCCCACGAGTGCGGCTATAGGTCGAATTTAATCGGACTATGTGGATATTGTGGAGCCAGTTCACCCAACTCAACTGATTCATGCTGTGTCAATGCGAATGCCGCGAGCCGATGCGAAGGCGTTACGATTCCCACCCCAACTGTGACTTTGCGACCAATATTCACCTCAACCTCCAACTCGACAGCAGATGCAGGTGCTCATGACGGTCTATCGGGAGGGCAAATCGCAGGCATCGTCATCGGATCTGTTGCGGGAGCCGCCCTCCTGGCAGCTCTTATCTTTTTGGTCCTCCTTTGTGTACGGCGCAGACGCAAGTCACGGGATTATAGTGCTCTCAATAAGCCCAATCCGCAACGGAAAGGGTTTCCGTCGATGCAACAGGATAAAAACCAGCAAGGCTTACCCTCGGTGCCAGGCGGACGGGTGGCCAGGATGTCTGCTCTGCGCGAGGTCCCAAGCTTGTCTCCCGCGCGCTCTCGTAACTCTCCGGCTCGCTTTGGAAGCGCCAAGCACAGCGATACGTCCGACTCGGAAGGTTACGGGGCGAGCCCGGGCGCAATGTCAAAGAGGATTCCGCCGGTCACTGGAAGACGCCATGGATCTCTCTCCAGCAACTCCGCACTGGCTGGCGCTTATAGTGACTCCTCGCCTCGCTCAGGAACTAATGGCCAATTCTCTTCACCCGAAGGCGTTGCGAGTGGGCAGTCGGAGCAATTGTCTTCGTTCCAAGATTATTACTCACCTGATGACATACGCCCCGGTGATAAGGTAGCTGTCCTCTGGGCCTATCAGCCGCGGGCAGGGGATGAGTTTGCCTTGGAACGCGGAGAGATGTTGAAGGTGATTGGCATTTGGGACGACGGATGGGCGACCGGCATTCGCGTGCCGGAAACTGCAGAAGACTATGACGCCAGGCACCGCGAGCAGCGTGACAGTGGTGTATCTAATGGATCACAGAGATTGGCTGCCTCTCCATCGCCTACTGGGGATATCAAGGCATTCCCGCTGGTCTGTGTCTGTCTTCCACAGCATTGGAGAAAGATCATCGAAGGCGGGCAGGATGAAGATGTTTCGTGATCTCCAGCCTGACTTTTTGACTCAAAGATTGTCACAACCTTACGATTCTCTGCACCTTCCGGAGGTCTTATGCTTTCATGACACAGCATCCTTGTCCTTCTCTCATCAGCATCGCACCCGTCGGGGTTCTCCAATATGGAGAAGTAGGGGGATCCTAACAGTTATGGCTCTACGCCCTCCCTCCTGTCATTCTGATGTACCAAAGACATGATGACTTCTTCCATCCGAAACCTCCCTCATTTCCTTCGCTGTCGCGAGCATACAATGCAGCTACTGGACCATCATTTTATAATGGTCGCGAAGCGGCTCGACGGATGCTTGTGAAACGACTTTTAACGGTTCATATTGATATACCCCATTTTACGCCTGTGAGCCATTTCTTGTTTGGACCTTGATGCCTTTCTATTCTATGGTAGTTCACGTTCCCTTCTGGCTCCTCTCAGACTATCGCAAGATCAGGCAGCTGTGGGTTGAGCACGATCGTTGACCATTCCAATACATATTGATAGATGTACATAAATAAGAGCCCTTTTCGCGTCTGCCTTATGGCACTGCGAGCAATAGCATCTACAATCCTCCAATTTATCTGATCCAATTATACCCAAAAATTCACAGTTGCCCTAGGCTTAAGATTTGCTCATCATACTAACTCCGATCAGAGCTAAGTTTCGGAAACATAGGAAGCTGTCTTCGAGTGTGAGACAGAGATGACAACCGTAAGCCTACTGTGGATTACTTGGCGTAGATGGCTCGCTAGGGGCTAGTCGTCGTCGGGTCCCATGGTTGAGTTCCATCAATGAATGATAATATGGAGCTATGATGTAGGCAGACCCGTGTAGTCAAAATATGGCAACGTTGTCCTAAAGATAGTAAACGTGATAACTATGTTGCCTGGCTGTATACAGCCGTTCAGGCCTTCTATATCATATGTCTATAAGAAATATATATTAATTTGTTAACATACAGGCAGCAAAGTAATGGGTACAGATATGAGTTATCTGTAATCATCGATCAGAAAGAAAACAGTGTGTATATAATCGACCTTGCAACCCCAGGGCTTCCCAGACACTATCTATATACAGTAGCTCTGATATTCCCACAAGCAAGCGAAAAAGGAGAAAGAAAATCATCCATTCAGGGGGCAAAAACAAGAAAAGGACGGGCTGTGCTTGTGGTGCGACTGAAGGTCACGTGCAGGAACCCACCCCCACCATCACATCAACAACGCAAGCACAACAGGAAAGCCCCTCTATCTCCATCTCCGTTTCGCAATCCTCCACCCTCTATTATTTCACCCACCCCCCTTTTGCCCCAAACTGCCAGTATTGGTAAAATATCTTGGGACCCTTTTTAGTGTAAGTGAGAATTGACTGATTAGCAAATCTCAAAATATCAACAACATTCAAGTGGGATCACTAACATCGCGTGCGAATACAGCTTATCATCTCCTAAATCAGCCTCGGGGTTTATATCACACAGGCAACCATGTCGGTATGTCATAATTATTCGGTTTACTCCTCCCCGTAGGGGCACACTTACTAATGGTATTTCTTGCCTCGCAGCTCGCATCCGGGTATGTTGACGGTTGTACCTTTTCCGCTTCCTACGGCGGCTCGGCACTAGCCAAACCGATTGCGCATTCATACTGACGGCCACCTTTTCTGCTATAGTGTCTCTATCGCAGATGAGTGCATCACTGCATTCAACGAGTTCCGCATGAGCGGCAACAAGGCCAACAAGACCAAGTTCATTATCTTCAAGATCGCCGATAACAAGAAGGAGGTTGTCATCGACGAGGTCTCGCAAGAAGAGGACTACGAGGTCTTCCGTAGCAGGCTCGAGGCTGCCAAGGATAGCAAGGGTAATCCCGCTCCTCGTTATGCAGTCTACGATGTCGAGTATGATCTCGGTGGCGGTGAGGGCAAGAGGTACGATTGCTTGCTTCGCTCTGAAATGAGGTGGACTTCTGTGGCTGACCGAATTGTAGAAGCAAGATTGTTTTCATCTCCTGGGTTCCCTCAGACACACCTACTCTGGTATGATTTGGGTCTTCTATTATTTTCCTCAAAGTTTCACATTCTGACGGTCACCATTCTAGTGGTCCATGATCTACGCCAGCACACGGGAGAACTTGAAGAACGCTCTCAACATCCACACCTCCATCCACGCCGACGACAAGGGCGACATTGAGTGGAAGACTGTTCTGGCCGAGGCCAGCGGTGGTAAGGCCGGTAAATAGACAACGGCACCGGCTGGGTCCGGGCCAGTTGACCTAGTGTGTGTGTGCTAGTTATCGCACTAATCTCATACGAGGGTTGAGAGTACCTCCAAGCGACCGACTCGATGGCCCTTTCAGCACACACACATAGTTTCAATATGAGATTGTTACGACTTGACCGCCCCTATAGTGACCGTACCATCTTATTGCGATTGTCATCGTGAACAAAACGATTGGGAGGGGGATTTTCTTTCTTTCATGAGTCAGCGTTTGCCTGTACAGATTATTGCTGCCTTGCTATGGGGTTGTGATTTCGACGGTTCTTTGTAGAGTAGAATACACGATATCACCTCCACAAATCATCCCTCTTTCATTTCGCAGGGGTGGCCGTTGTAGATATGAGTAATAGTGAGGATGAGCCAAAACGGCAAGTCGCCCGGTCGGAATCGGATATCTCCATTGTAGCGGATAAGGCAGTCTAGGTACTGAAAAATGAAAGAGTCTTTGGCGAATGGATGTGCGATCTCGATAAACTTATGATGTCCTTGATGAGGGAACGGCCGGGTTGTCTCAAGACAGGCGTGGCTGTCGACCAATCAGAGCGCCGCCAAAACGGACTAAGCTTGTCGTTCGGAAACTCGACTTTCCACCTCAAACCACAGTCGAACGTCGTCTCTGTCTCCTCCTCCACCCACTGACCAGCCTCAAACAGCCTCCAATCCGGGGAATTGACGCTCTTTTATTCCGGAGAGTATCCTCTACTCAATTGACACGTTTTTCGTCGTCTTTGCGCCCTCACACAAATAATGTTCCTCCGGTCCGTTTCTCGGGCTGCTGCTCGCAGCTCTGCCATGCCCACCACGGCCACTCGCTCCTACCGCACTGTTCCTAGCCCAATTGCTTGCCTGAACGCTCGTCCTCAGCCTCAGCAGAAGTCGATTGCTTCCCAGCAGTCCCGCGCCTCTTCCGAGCACGCCATCTCGAATCCCACACTCGCCGGTATCGAGAAGCGCTGGGAGGCCATGCCTCCCCAGGAACAGGCCGAACTGTGGATGCAGCTGAGGGATCGTATGAAGGTTGACTGGCACCAGATGACTCTGCAGGAGAAGAAGGCTGGTATGTATCTCTCTTTGGCGCGCATACCAGACATTCCCCGGTGGTCAGAATTTTTGCTGACCAGCGACTCTAGCCTACTGGATTGCTTTCGGTCCTCACGGCCCCCGTGCGGTTCCTCCCAAGGGCGAGGGCATGCGGATCTTCTGGAAGGTCGCTCAGCTGACCCTGGCCTCCTTCGCCGTCTTCTACGTGATCCATCTGTTCGCCAAGCCCCAGCCTAAGACCATGTCCAAGGAGTGGCAGGAAGCCTCCAACGAGTACGCCAAGGTACGTATATATCGCTGTTATGGGAAGCTTCTACATGGAAGCTTTTTGTACTCTTGTGCGGTTGAATAGTTATTGACATGGTTTTACAACAGCGCGAGAACATCAACCCTCTCTACGGTATTAGCAGTGAGGGCTACGAGGGCAAGGGCTTCGTTCAGAGCCCTCCTGCCGAGAAGTAAATTGAAGGATAAGTATCTGGGAGGAACAGGTGTGGCATTCAGACACGCTGGGTAGGCAGTGCTGGAGTTGAGTGCCCGTCCCCTCGTCCTTTCTGTTGACCTTGGCTGCGTGCTTAGGTCCATTGGACAATTTTGACTTCGCCCTTGTCTTCCAATCTTGACAATTCGACTTCCGAAAAACCTTGTGTATCTCGTACTGTGCAATAATCAATGTATCTCCTTTGTAGCCATAGATCATTTGTTGCATTGTCTTCCTACTTTGTTACTGGTATTGATGACGTAGAATTCGCTCTTAGAGAGACTTATACACCACAGTACGCACATCCAATGGGCAATTCTCTAACGCTGTGCCTATTCATACAGCTTCAAGAGCTGCTTCCATGGAGATATACGATCGAAAGGCTGTATACTGGCAATGGGCCTGTCTCCGTGTTGGCCATGCTAATGCAGTGTATGCTAAACGACAGCTCCCTATACTTGAAGTTGCAGGTAGTTCCCAGTTCGGTTTCCTATATTGAGTACAATATTGGCCTTTGCTATCCGGCGTGGGTAATACGCAGTACAAGCCGATTACAAGAACACGTCAGAAATTTCCAGAACAGCGTTCGTCCGAGGAGAGGAGCGGAGATTGTTCTCGGAGCAACCGGTATTAAAAAGGCAGATAAAAGAGGATGAAATGAATTGAGCGGTTCATTTGAGGAAGTCGGATAAGTAATGATATGTTGATTTGGGGATAAGCTATATGCATCATGTTGTAAACGAGTATCAAATTTTGATGGGGCTGGTGTAGAGAGGTACAGCTGTACAGGTATCCAAAGCTCCCTGCATCCGGGCGCCAAGAAGTCTCCCGTTTTGTGTGTGCGAATTCCCCTAGGTGACCACAACAGGGCAAGTATGGAGATGTGGAAACCCGGACAAGTTGGGCTCGACGGCCAGAGAACACAGCGTCTGACCGTGAGACATTCAAGATAAAAAAAAAGATGAAATTCGAGATAGCGGTGCCTGTCTTATTCTCAAGAAAATGAGGCTCGTTGCGCACTGGGTTTCTTGCGCATTGCTCGGTACATCACGGGATCGTCGGCAAAACCGCCCCGGAAAGGCTAAGCCGGACACAGTCGCCCGTGTCCACCTCAACCTCAACCTCTTCCCTTCCCTTCCCTCTTTCTTCCCTCTCCCCATCTTCTTGTCCCTTTGACCTCTTAAACCCCATTTTCGCTCTTAAACACCATCAAAATGTTCAAGAGGTTTGTTGCACCGCCAATTCTCGCTGAATCGCCTTTTTTCCCATTTTTTCGCCCGCTAACCTCGGTTTTTTGGATGATTTAGCGGTCTTGCCCGGACCTTCGGGAGGGCTGCTTTTGCCCGACCTTCGCCCGTCGCTCGTCGCGCAATCCAGCCCCTCAGATACAATGGCCTTCCTTCCCTGGCCAGGTTCGCCAGCTCTGAGGCTGGTTCCGTCGGAAAGATTCACCAGGTCATTGGTGCCGTCGTCGACGGTACGTGCGAATATCCCCGTTGAAAACCCTGCTGGCAGCCGCCGCGAAAATCTTTTCCTGGCGTCAGACCTATCTCAACAGCCATCAAAATGGGGTCAATAGCAATGTCAAAACACGATATCTGACTCTCGACTACAGTGAAGTTCGACGGTGACAACCTCCCTGCCATTCTCAACGCCATTGAGACCGAGAACAACGGCCAGAAGCTCGTCCTTGAGGTCTCTGTATGTATTTGATACCTGATATCGAACCTCGATGACATCAATCGTGCCTTGGCTAACCGAGTAACAGCAACACTTGGGTGAGAATGTCGTCCGTACCATTGCTATGGATGGTAAGCTCTCACCCTCTCTGCTCATCGCCGGCGTGACACCTAGATTTTTCTTGGCGATATCGGCGCTGCTTTTCCATCGAATCGACTGACATGTCTCCGGCTTTCAGGTACCGAGGGTCTGACCCGTGGTGCTCCCGCCCGCGACACTGGTGCTCCCATCAAGATCCCCGTCGGCCCTGCCACCCTTGGCCGTATCGTCAACGTCACTGGTGACCCCATTGACGAGCGTGGTCCTATCAAGGCCACCAAATTCGCTCCTATCCACGCCGAGGCCCCCGAGTTCATTGAGCAGTCGACCTCCGCCGAGATTCTGGTCACTGGTATCAAGGTCGTCGACCTTCTCGCCCCCTACGCCCGTGGTGGTAAGATTGGTCTCTTCGGTGGTGCCGGTGTCGGCAAGACTGTCTTCATTCAGGAGTTGATTGTGAGTTGTTCCTCATGTTCCGCTAATTCTCGCTCGATCTTTTCACTAACGCATCCCATGTAGAACAACATTGCCAAGGCCCACGGTGGTTACTCCGTCTTCACTGGTGTCGGTGAGCGTACTCGTGAGGGTAACGATCTGTACCACGAAATGCAGGAGACTGGTGTCATTCAGCTCGAGGGTGAATCCAAGGTCGCCCTGGTGTTCGGACAGATGAACGAGCCCCCCGGTGCCCGTGCCCGTGTCGCCCTTACCGGTCTGACCATTGCCGAGTACTTCCGTGACGAGGAGGGTCAGGACGTGCTGCTCTTTATTGACAACATTTTCCGTTTCACCCAGGCCGGTTCTGAGGTGTCTGCCCTTCTCGGTCGTATCCCCTCTGCCGTCGGTTACCAGCCCACCCTGGCCGTCGACATGGGTGGTATGCAGGAGCGTATCACCACCACCAAGAAGGGTTCCATTACCTCCGTCCAGGCCGTCTACGTGCCCGCTGACGATCTGACTGACCCTGCCCCCGCCACCACCTTCGCTCACTTGGACGCCACCACTGTCTTGTCCCGTGGTATCTCTGAGTTGGGTATCTACCCTGCTGTCGACCCTCTCGACTCCAAGTCTCGTATGCTCGACCCCCGTATCGTCGGTGAGGAGCACTACGCCGTCGCTACCCGTGTCCAGCAGATGCTCCAGGAGTACAAGTCCCTCCAGGATATCATTGCCATTCTGGGTATGGACGAACTTTCTGAAGCTGACAAGCTCACCGTCGAGCGTGCTCGTAAGCTCCAGCGTTTCCTGAGCCAGCCTTTCACTGTCGCCCAGGTCTTCACTGGTATCGAGGGTAAGCTGGTCGACCTCAAGGACACCATCCGCAGTTTCAAGGCCATCATCAACGGTGAAGGTGATGATCTTCCTGAGGGTAAGTTTGAACATGATCTATCGTCTATAATTCGAAATAGAATGCTAACGTCATTCTTTTAGCTGCCTTCTACATGGTTGGTGACTTCGAGTCTGCCCGCGCCAAGGGTGAGAAGATCCTGGCTGACCTCGAGGGCAAGGCCTAAATGTAATATTGTTTTTTAAGCGCCCTTTTCTTTTTATGGTTGTTAGACATGGGATCTCTTCCTTCAGTATTCCGTTTTCTTTCGATGCATGTACAGTACTCGAATTAAGGAAAGGGATTCGAAAGAAAGAAAGTTTCCATGAAAAAG